GGGGGGTGCCTTGCTTAGCCTGTGATGTTGGCGAGGCGCTTAGACGAGCTGGAGTGGCAGTATCCGTTCTAGGAGGCCAACGGGACATGGGGGTTTAACAGCCATAGGGTCTGAGTGTCCCTGTACAGCCAGGAACCTCCATCCGCACCCCCACTGCGGCCACCCCCACTGCGGCCACCCCTACTGCTGCTACACCTGGCTACGAACCAGAGGACGCCAGCTGATCCATCACATCCGCTCAGGCTCAGCCAAGCCGGAAACTCCGCCCTCACTCACGTGACCCTGTGGGCTCAGCCCAGCGAGAACCAGCAGCGGTTCTGGCAGCTAGTTAGTGGGTCAGGCCACACGACAAGGCAAAGGGTTTGGTGTGTCAGTCAAGTCCTGGCAGAGCAGGGACATGGGTGGTTTGGCCTTGCAGGTGGGGGGCAGGGCTCCCAGGGCTCAGAGCCAGAGGCAGAAAGCAGGAGTTAAGCCAAAGGTCAGAACCGGTGGCAGGAACGTGGGCAGGGATCAGCTGCTCCCAGGAACTTCCCGTCCTGGCTGCTTTGCCTTGCACCAAGCTCTCCCAGCAGTGACCCCAGGGAGCCTGCTGTGCAGCTGCCTGCTGCCGGGTCCATTCCCCCAGGGCTCTCTGCATCACACCCCCCTCGGCCCACGGACACACTGCCCCAGCCGGCAGAGGCCCCCTGCCGCATCTGCTGCTTGCGAGCCACGGGACTCACCTGGCCCCTGTAGGGCCCGTAGGACTCGGCGCTCGGTATGCCACCATGCTTCCTGACCCAGTCAAAGGCCCGCCAGACGAGGCCGCCGTCGCAGGCGTGGTTCCCACAGCCCCAGGAGCAGTCGACCAGGGCTTGCTGGGACAGGGGGGTGAGCACGCCGGTCTGGGGAGGAGAGCAGGGTCGGGCACAGAGGAGTCAACCCCTAACTTCACCATCTTTACAGCACACCCAGGCTCACCAAGGCCTCGTCCAAAGAGGTCCTCCCTCCCCCTGGCGGGGGCGGCGCTCCCCTGCCATGCTCTGGGGGCCGCTCTCGCGCCATCGCACAGCTGATGCGACATGGTCCTCTGCCAGCCAGGACGGCTCAGGCTGGGGAGCCTTTGGGCAGGACTCCAGGCCGAGTTACAGCTGGGGGGCCAAGAGCAGGCACTCTCCGGTCAGTAGCTGAGTCTAAACTGCTCTGGAGGCCTTATTAATTTGCCTTCTCTTCTAACACACACACCCCTCTCTCACAACGGGGTGTATGAGTGACTGACACACACACACACACCCCTCTCTCACAACTAGGTATATGAGTGACTGACACACACACACACCCCTCTCTCACAACTAGGTATATGAGTGACTGACACACACACACACCCCTCTCTCACAACTAGGTATATGAGTGACTGACACACACACACACCCCTCTCTCACAACTAGGTATATGAGTGACTGACACACACACACACCCCTCTCTCACAACTAGGTATATGAGTGACTGACACACACACACACCCCTCTCTCACAACTAGGTATATGAGTGACTGACACACACACACACCCCTCTCTCACAACTAGGTATATGAGTGACTGACACACACACACACCCCTCTCTCACAACTAGGTATATGAGTGACTGACACACACACACACCCCTCTCTCACAACTAGGTATATGAGTGACTGACACACACACACACCCCTCTCTCACAACTAGGTATATGAGTGACTGACACACACACACACCCCTCTCTCACAACTAGGTATATGAGTGACTGACACACACACACACCCCTCTCTCACAACTAGGTATATGAGTGACTGACACACACACACACCCCTCTCTCACAACTAGGTATATGAGTGACTGACACACACACACACCCCTCTCTCACAACTAGGTATATGAGTGACTGACACACACACACACCCCTCTCTCACAACTAGGTATATGAGTGACTGACACACACACACACCCCTCTCTCACAACTAGGTATATGAGTGACTGACACACACACACACCCCTCTCTCACAACTAGGTATATGAGTGACTGACACACACACACACCCCTCTCTCACAACTAGGTATATGAGTGACTGACACACACACACACCCCTCTCTCACAACTAGGTATATGAGTGACTGACACACACACACACCCCTCTCTCACAACTAGGTATATGAGTGACTGACACACACACACACCCCTCTCTCACAACTAGGTATATGAGTGACTGACACACACACACACCCCTCTCTCACAACTAGGTATATGAGTGACTGACACACACACACACCCCTCTCTCACAACTAGGTATATGAGTGACTGACACACACACACACCCCTCTCTCACAACTAGGTATATGAGTGACTGACACACACACACACCCCTCTCTCACAACTAGGTATATGAGTGACTGACACACACACACACCCCTCTCTCACAACTAGGTATATGAGTGACTGACACACACACACACCCCTCTCTCACAACTAGGTATATGAGTGACTGACACACACACACACCCCTCTCTCACAACTAGGTATATGAGTGACTGACACACACACACACCCCTCTCTCACAACTAGGTATATGAGTGACTGACACACACACACACCCCTCTCTCACAACTAGGTATATGAGTGACTGACACACACACACACCCCTCTCTCACAACTAGGTATATGAGTGACTGACACACACACACACCCCTCTCTCACAACTAGGTATATGAGTGACTGACACACACACACACCCCTCTCTCACAACTAGGTATATGAGTGACTGACACACACACACACCCCTCTCTCACAACTAGGTATATGAGTGACTGACACACACACACACCCCTCTCTCACAACTAGGTATATGAGTGACTGACACACACACACACCCCTCTCTCACAACTAGGTATATGAGTGACTGACACACACACACACCCCTCTCTCACAACTAGGTATATGAGTGACTGACACACACACACACCCCTCTCTCACAACTAGGTATATGAGTGACTGACACACACACACACCCCTCTCTCACAACTAGGTATATGAGTGACTGACACACACACACACCCCTCTCTCACAACTAGGTATATGAGTGACTGACACACACACACACCCCTCTCTCACAACTAGGTATATGAGTGACTGACACACACACACACCCCTCTCTCACAACTAGGTATATGAGTGACTGACACACACACACACCCCTCTCTCACAACTAGGTATATGAGTGACTGACACACACACACACCCCTCTCTCACAACTGGGTGTACGCATGACTGACCAACCTAATCCTCCCTTTCCAACACTCTCTACCCTCCATGCCTGACTGGGCCCCTGAGACAGCGCCGCCTCGCCTGGTTCCTGACACTGTGTTTTCCCAAAGCAATGTATATTCTGGGGGGGCCACACAGGATCACATGCCCTTGGGATTTCTGCTAGAGTTCACACCGGGATGTTGGCGGCAGCAGCCTGCTGGTA